AATTTTACAAAACACTGTGTGTTTATGCAAATAAGAAAGAATTTAGGGTACGCAAATAATTTTGTTTAGCTGATTATTGATTTTTTAAAAATACAACTGAAAATAATAGTACAGTGGACTGACAAAATAACCACATGAGTAAAATTGTAATAAGGATGGATGAATTTTGCAGAATTATTAATTTTAGCAAGATATACAGTCATGTCAGTACATGTGAACACGTAGAAATATAAGTAAGGCAAACAAAATATAGAGTGATGGTAAACGAATGAAGGAACGGGTGTAAGATAATTTAAGATAAATTAGAACTCAGTAACAATGTACTTATTAAAATTGACTGCTTAAGGAATCTATAGAATTTCGTAAAGATGTGAAATGAGTTACATATATCTAACGATTTTTAGCTCAGGAACAGAACAGGGGGCATATCAGTTGCTGACAAAATATCGTGATCTCATACAGTCTTCTTGATTTAAGTTTAATTGATGGAAATCGATATTGTAGTGAGTAGACGGTAGTGTTTGCCAAAGCATTATCTTCAGTGTAATAAATACATTGAGTTTCCAACGTGATTTACAAAAATAATACCATATAAGTAGATGTTACTTCATTGAGTATTGTATTGTGCCTTAGGTTAATTCGTCATTTGTGAATACGTTAACATATGATGGTTCCGTTAGTTCCACTCGTTAAAATGTATTAATGGTCGATCGTTTTTCCTGTAAATTTGAGTAGAAAACTGTTTGTGCTTGACAGCAAAACTTTTTAGTCGATTTCTGTCCATAGGAGTTGATGTACATAGATTCGAGCTTACTAAATCCGTTTATAGTGTGGTCGTTGTGTGACAGACTCTTTGATTTCAGCAGCAAGCTTTTGACATGGAATCGTCTGCATGGTGCATCTGTCACATTTAAGAACCTGAAGATTCTTTAATAATTTGAAGAGCTGTAATAGTTTGTTTTATTCCTTCACGTTCCCAGTGGAACATAAGGCTTTACGCTAGATCTTTGAAGTTTCGGTAGGAGTGGTGTTAAGTTTTACCGAATGGGGTTACTAGCCTCATGCCCAACATCCCCTCTACACCAGCCTTATTACTGGCTTAGCAAGTTAATGAAGTGCGGAGGCTGGGGGTCGAGCCCAGAACCACCTGCGTGGTTGGCGAGCATTCTATAGCTGTGCCACTGACGCATCGATGCCATAATAGTATATATATATATGTAGAATTTTGTTTTAAATCTAATTCAAGACTTTATCTTTTGAGATATAAATTCTAAACCAACTTTTCTCTAAGACTTTAAAGTTGTTATTCATGATAATTTCTTTATTTTGCCTTTCAGGTCAATAACGCATGATGAAAAATGTTTTATTTACATACACTGTGGGCCAGTCAGTCTCCTGCTATTTAGGTGTACCGGATAATATTTATGTAAACAAAAGTATGGGAATACACAATTCTTTTCATACAGTAAAGAATATTTTTTCTGAAAAAAAACGTTGTGTTGTTATTTGCGTATCTTGAAAATGTTACTTTAATTAGGGAATTATTCAGAAAACAAGCAATACCGAACAATTCGATACTGTATCAACACTAAGTACCTCCCCATCTTGTAAAAGCAGATATAGCATTCATTTGTTAGGCAGCTGCAGTCTACTGCTAACACTTTATTCTCAAACATGCCCAGAACGTAAATCTTTCATTTATAAAAATTCACCCGAACGAAATTTTCTAAGGTCATGACGGTCAACCGCTGAATAGTATCTGAATCACTTAGGTGAATCCATACTGTTTAACTAAGAATTCTCTACAATTTCACCTATCTGTCAATAGTTCTTATACAACGGACATCCGTTTGGTGAGTAGGTAAATTACGTATCTTGTTTTTCAAGCATGTAGCATTCTTGCCGGTATTGAAAGAAAACAACAACAAAGATGAAACCGACTTCAAATTCAAAGAAAAAGGTTTTCTGAGAATTAGGCTTAGGTCTGCTGAAATGGACAGTAGTTCGCACACAGAATATATATATATCTATAATTTCCTACCTTTGCACAACTAATCTATACACCGCTGTTTGCATATATGTGGGAAATATGAGTTTTTGTTATGAGGATTACCATGTACACTGAAATATCTGACACCATCCAATAGAAATGAATGTAGTTCACTGTGTTATGAAGACATAAAAAACGTTTTCGCATATTTCTTTCGCTCAGAGCCTTAAACATTGTAGTAGTAAATTTAAGGTAACCGCGACCATAAATCACTTCTAACTTTGCCGTTTAGAGGTACTCATGAAAATTAAGGATAACAGGTAGTAAAAGGAGAAGGCGATTCAAACGACAGTGATTTTCAAGTAAGACATTTCTCTGGGACATTGAATATCATTAGATATAAATCAGTTCGACAGATGATGCAAAACTGGCTGATTCATTCTTTTTCCTCCATCTCAATCTTAATACTCAAGAATAAGGCTCTAAATTTCGAATGTGGTTAATCAATATTCATCCCTCTGTGATATAACTGACTCAGCTTCGAGACTATCTAAAGTTTCTGTATAATAATTTTCGAAACAACCTTCCTTAACTTTCTTCTTTACACACCTTGGTTCTAATAGTCTAAATCCGTAATTTGCGAGCTTCTTCTGTTTGTATACGCTTTCTTCTACGCGACTACTTCTCAGCTCTACTCAACACTATGCTTTAGCTAATATTCAGTTTAAAATATCAAATTAGTTCCGTAGGCTTAATGCGCTGGCACAAGTGTTTGCAGAAGCTATGCAGTAAGTAATATTGACTATGTATATTTCAGTGTGATGTTATGCAAAGTTATTAGCGAAAAATAATTAATATTCTGAATATGTATTTCTACAGAAATTTGCAATACAACATTTGCAATACAATTGTAGATAAGTTTGATAATAATTTATAAAATTCTGTGGCATAAATCTTAGTATATATATATATCAAAGGAAGAGGGTGCGACAATTCCTTTGATGAGGATATTCACACATCAAAAGTATACTCATAAAAATGATGAAAATGCTCTTGAAAATTTTAAATTACACTCCTATATATTAAAAATTCATCGCAATGAAATCATCTCTTTGCTCAATAAGATAAATGTAGCATATATATATTCAGCTAGAGTTAAAGCAAAGAGTTGGAATACTTTTAAAGTAGGCACCATTGTGCTTATGAAGTCAACGGAATAAAAATTGAGATAAGCACTTCGTCAGCTTTCTTCTTTTCATTTAGTTAACTCCTCCAGTTCTGAAAAGCACCACAGCATGATTGTCTAGGAAGAAATAGATGAAATGTTTCTCTTCATGTGATATGTACCTGAAGAAAAATCCATCAATACAGAATAACTTCATGAGTTAAACTTTTTAATTCATACAGAAAGTAGACCACTACTGGACACTGACAAAAATTGCATAAAATTGTGAAAAGAATTATCATAATTCATTCTGAGAGTTGGGTAGAAAAAACACTTGCCAGCCTCATTCTGAATTCAATTATTTGCATTGATTTCCCTTATTTAAACAAAGCTGAACTGTCATTTCGTCTGTCTTTACTTCAGAAATATCCCTAGATCTCCTGGAAGTGAGTTTCCGGGAATTATTTATAGTACACTCTGCGGAAAATGGAGTATCAGGTTAGAGTATAACCCATGGAAATCCGCTGCATTAAAGAAATAGAAACAGATCAGGTATACACTGAGGTGAGAGTCGATTGACATCAGGCGCCAGACCGTAGAGTGGAACTCGAGTTGGAAACAAAGTGTTAGATTCATAGCGTGATATAGAGGAGATATTGTGAGGAGGAAATTGAAGTTTATCGGCTGTCGCCCAGTCAGCTAAGGAAGACTGCAGAGCAAACAGTACAGTCATGATGCGCTTTCGACGTCCTTCATTCTACCCGGAACACGAGTCAATAATAATTATCATAATAATCTGTCTTCATGTTTTCAACTAATACTTCTATATGTAAGTCCCACAGAAGTGAGCAGTAGATTCGCCAGCATTAAGTGTATTCACACATCATGGCAAGAAACAGTGGCGTTTGGTAGCAGAATTATGTATTTCACAGAAAACAGATACCTGACACTAAGATTTTAAATTCTCAGTGTCAGAAGGAGACATTTCAAGCAGCCACCTTACGCATCACGTTCCCCAGCAGACAATTTATGCACTCTAATGTTAAGGATAAGATGTCGCTTCTGGCCACCTCACTGTGTATTTATCAGTTTGTCTGCTCGTATCAAGCAATGTATATCGGCCGTACGCAACGTCAAGTTCACAAACGTATTCTGGAATAATGTCAAGCTTGGTAAGCCAGAGGATAAAAGAAGAAGAGTAGAAGCTCTATCACCGAACACCTCGTCATTTCCGGACATAGAACATCCCGGCGTGAATGCTTCACATTGCTAGTCAGATTCCCTCAATATCGTACAAAGGGATTTCGCATACGTTATTTGTGCATAGCTTAATCACTAGCTATTCGGGGTCTGAAACCAGACCTCTGCATTCAAAAGCACTGCTTACATTCACTCACCCTACCGTGGCCAGAGTAAAATTCCTACTATAATTTTGCTTCTTTTTAGTACATAGTTTTATTATTATTGTTGTTATTATTATTTTATTATCATTATTATTCCCATCATCCATATTTTATTACCACTCTATTACTGTTTATTAATAACATCGCGTTTTAATACGGATTTTATATGGAAACACTTTATCGTCTTTCCACCAGTTCCTGTCCATTCTACACAACTATAATGATTAGTCATTATCTCACGTCATGCTCAATTCTGCCTCTTTTCCAACTTTCAGTTAGTTATCCCTTCTAGCTTACACCTAACATTACGCTTGTTAAATATAATTACCACTGTACAGCAGTTTATGGAAGTGAATCGTCGAAAAGAAAATCTTCTTCGCTGTTTACGTCTTTAACCTAAGATTTCATTTTCTCAAAATTATTTCTCTTCCTCTTCTTTCACCTTCCTTTCATACTATTTATACTGTTTCATGAGAATCTTCACTTCTCCTCTCCTTGTGTAAGTCTTTTTCTTTCAGTCATGGGCTTCACGTATGACTTTCGAGACATGGACTGTGAAGCATGAAATCAGTTAGCTGAAATCTTACATGTAGTGTCCCAAAAACTCTAATATAAAACTATGCTTATCAAACAAGCCTGTGCGGGGTAAATAATCTGAACTCATTACTGAAATTAACACTAAGTCACACATAAATAGAATGCAATGAAACTTACGTGCCGAAATTAGTTCCGACAACACAATGCCAAGTTGGTGAATACTTTCTATCGAATTCTTTTTTCATAAAAGCTGCAATATCTTTTCCAAGTGTGTATTTTTTAAGCGCAATAGCACACATATCTACAGCGTCCTGTTGCATTTCATCAGGCATATCAACACTTTTGATAATAGCTTTCAATTCAGGCATTTTCAAGTTTTATTCTCCTCTGTATTCCTTGAATGTTGTATTATTTACATATGAAGTAATAATCTTTTTGTTTGTACTTCAAGATCTCTGAGGTTGCTAAATAATGTTTGAACAAAACTTTTCAGCGTGCTATTTATGCGCATATATTAATTCGAGTGTGCAAGAGTGTTTGTCCACTAAGTAAGTAGAAAAAAAACTTTTCATCACAGTGGCCGAAGTAACAGAAATTGTGAATATCAATTTGTACTTAGTATAAACACATCACTAAATGCTTGATCAACGGAGAAAAAAATTAGTCCGAATAAATTATCTGAACCGTGTGCTTGTGTGTCTTTTTCTATATGTCTGCTTACGTGCACAACAGTGAATATTCGATTTAATTTATTAAGGAAAGGTCGAATCGATTGTAGAAACGGAAGCTTTTAACTTTCAGAGGAAATGTTTTAACACAACTGTACACATAAGAGTGGATGGTTCATTGTCACTTTACTGGAAACTATTGTCCAATAGACTGTAGGGTTTGATATCTCTTTGTGAAAAATGGAGAAGTAAAATAGACCTATTGCAGTTTAAAGAATTATATAATTCAGCACAGTAGATCCATCTCTGTTGCTGAATATTTTTCAAAACTAAAACCAGAGGTAAATTACGGTTTTCAGTGTTTTTCGTAAAAGAGGTTAAATACTAAGTCTGATACTGATTTTGTTCCCGAATGTGTCACATAGTTACTTTTAGCGCTGAAAAGCATGGATTTAGTCTGACATAATGATAATAATCACAGTTTCTGCCCTGTTCGTTACAAAACAGTCTTGGTAAGGTGCCTCTTCAGTAGAATCCAACGAATACGCACTGAAGACACATTTGATGAGGAAGAAAGAAAGTTGACACAAACTCTGGTTGATAACAATTATCCAGACAAGTTCATCGGGAGATATAAAATCATCAGAACACTAAGACCCACTCTCCGACTCCCCCCTAAGAAAGACGTGTACATCAAGCTACCCTATATGGGGCATCATAGCAGCTTGGCAACTAGACAAAGATTGAACGCTACTGTTAGAAAAACTTTTTGTGCAGCTTATATCATAATAATTGAGAATGTGAAGCCAATATGTCTATCTAAGCCCTTTAAACATGCGAAAAATGATGTCACATACCACTTTATTTACCGATTTGAATGTACGTGTGGCCACCCATACAAAGGGAGGAATCATTGATCTCTGTAAGTGAGAACTGGCTCCAGAAGAAAACAGAATCCCCAGAACCCATAATTGGTAAGAACAGGAGACCTAGCTCCTCTATTGCGAAACACATTATAGAAACAAGACATAAAATTGATGTTCACACATCGTTTGAATCTATAAATAAAACGTGTTTCGGGTACATCCTAAAGTTTGTGGTAGCCCTATCAATTAGGAAGTTTAAACCACCTTTATGCTTGCAAAGACAATTCGTCACCATATTAAACCTTCCTTAGTAAACTTTGTTTTGATACCATAGCAGATGCACTATTACCTCAATTATTTAGTTCAGTGACCTTCATTGTTATTTTGTCCTTCAATATGTCCTTTTAACTTGACCTAAATTTATTTTCTCACCTCTTAAATCTATATTAAATTCATATATATTCCTATGATAAGTCTATGTGTGATAAGATTGTTCGAAATGTGTTGCGCAAATACAGCATTACACGATTCAGACAAATTACGTCTTCTTATTGCTTTGTCTGACATAATAATATCAAAATGGTTAGGTGATAAAACGAAGACGGGAGTTGCTGAAAAATTCTTTATCAACAACTAGTTGTATCAACTTCAAATCGGTTCTTATTGTTAATTCAAAGTAAATAGATTATAAAGATTAAAAACGTGTCTCCTAGTAAAAGTATATAAGTGATTTCCAAGGGAAATAATAAGATGGATTGTGCGTCATTTGTGATTTTTGAATACACCTGTAATCGAACAGTATTTCTCCTGTAGCTTTTTGTGATGAGTATTTGGATAAGCAGATTTCAGAAGACACGAATCCAAGTATCAGTGAAAGTTAAAGCCTGAAGACAAATGAACGAAAAATATCTTATATAATGTATAGCTGTGGTAGTACTCGTAATTAACTGAACTTGATATACATTTGTTGTACTGATAATCGAATCCCAGTGTATGGTAACAATATCAGCACTTCAATATTGAGTGAACCTAGATAATAAATTTCGAAAGGCGTAATACAACCTCATAATTGAACGATAATATGAAGAAGTGCTGTGTTACGGCTAAACCCGACGTATGGTGGTCTGAACGCAAGAGACTTATCTTTGCGTTTCACTGTATAGCTATCCAGAACTTCCTTTATTAACGCACAGTACAAAAATGTCCCAATAATAATGAAAAGACGACAATTTGTGATAAAATCCGAGGTACTATCTAACAGCAATGACATATGCTACAGCTAAATTACCTCAACAGTGCCATTAGGCAAATATACAAAACAAATTATACCTTAGACACAAAACAAGTAGTATGCAATAGAAATATTTAACCGAAATCAACCGTATGAAGTACCTTAGAATCAAAACTCTGTCAGCAAGAATCATGCAATAAACAATTACCACAGACAGTCTAAGGTCAGAATGACTTCGACTTACTCAAACAGAATAGCAGTCGTAAAACAATATTTTATCAGTATCATCACAAAATGAAGCTTTTAACTTAGAGAATAAATAGGAAAAAAGACAAATAATGAGTCAACATATGAAATGCAAATGTCAGAACAATAACATATATAGCCTAGGACAGTAAAGGAAAGTAGTTACAAAGTTAGTTCAAACATTCAGTTAAATGTTAACATTATAATTAAATCAGTTAGGAGGGATTTTCCAAACAACTGCGTCGTTAAATGATGTCTTACTACTATAGGCTTCATCTCATATTGATAACACTGTAAAACATTACACTGATTTTATTTGCTCACAGCTCACGTAAAGTCTAGCATAACTAGATATTTCCGTTTAAACTAGTGATGAGTAACTTAATTCTTTGTACTTTCCCTCTCCTACAACTCAGCAGGATTTCCTTAAACGCTACTTTCTTAAGGTATCTCATCTTTTCTGTTTTAGATAACTTTTGGCTAAAAGCTATGGTATGAAGTCAAGGGAAGGAAACAGAACGACCTGAATTACAATCAGGATGTCAGCGAAGCAAACTGTGTTCGTAACGATCTTAACAAATAGTGACGCTGTACTTAACCTTATCATGATTCACAAAAACTTTATGTAATCCCTATTTCATGTTTTTTCGCATTTTCTCATTCCGCTGCAACTGAACAAAACAAGAACACAGAACTTCATCATGAGCTGACATCGGTTAGAGGACCATCAGAAAACTTGGGATTACAGGATTACAGCTGTTTCCTCCTAGTTTGATACTCTCCATACTACGCACCCACTGGGGTCCTAACCCAGTACCTTCCGCTTAAAAGGCAAGCTAAGAGACTGGGTCAGGTCCCAGTGGCCCATGTAGAATAAACAAACTGAGCAGCATAACATGGTATCATTTCATTTCGTCGCTCGTTTCCAACCGTATGCAATCTTAAGCAATTCGAATACCAACGTGCAAACTGTTCGCAAACTCTAGTTATTGAGCATGAAGATGAAAGGCATTAATACTAGGTAATAGAGTCGCATAACGAAAAGGAATAAATGGTGTTGTGAAGCTGGTTAGTATAAATTCAGATGATTAGAAGAACATTCTGAAATCGGGAACAAATGTCTCAAAATGAATACCAGTGTAAAACCGATAGCGCATATTACATAAGGGTTAAATAATCAATTTGGGTAGTGGACAGAAAATAGTTTGGTCAAGTTTCTACTTAAAGACAAAACTGAAAGTATGAAATTTCATCGTCAAAATAAAATGTTATTAAAATGACCACCAGCAAGAAAACTAAATTAACACAAAATATAATCACATGGATTGGGAGAGATTGGTAACAGTTTCGACTGTTTAATAACTCAGCGGTATGTAGTTAACTAGAATTAACTTGGATTTAAATTATCTGAAATGATTTTAATGATAACAAATTCAGGTGACGAGCGATTGCACTACTGAAGACGTTCACACCTTATGGTGGCACGTGTCTTAGAATATGTACGAGAGCGAAGCCAGAAATCTCCTTTTATTCATCTGACATTAATTCTTTGGTACAAATACTTAAGCTGGTAGATTTATTTGCGGGTAACATGAAAGGGGTACTTGTCAACTACGAACTGTTTTAATCACTAACTTGTCTCGTACAGTGTGATCACTTCGGTAGCTGGATACGTCATTTTTACACCTGTGCTTACTCTTTATCTGGTTCTCCTGGACACCTTTCAATTTTTCTTTGTATCTGATCCCGCTTTGATACTTGGTGTTCTTGTGTGTTTATCAGTACCTGCTTTAGGGTACATATTGTTTCATATGTACATTACAACAATGGCAGTATTCTTCGACAAGTCATTCCTTTGAACAAAGCTTTTCATTGAAGTTAAACAATTTTCTAACCAGACCTTTCTAGAAATTAAAGGGAACAAAGGCTGTGAAATTGTAGATACCGCTCATTCGAAAACTATTATGGTGGATATGTCTTTGTATATTTTCATCTGTAGTTCTCAGAGGTCAAAGTTCCACAAAATGGAATTTTTCGTTTCCCTCACATCCCATGGTGAAATGAATTCATTTATGTGCCTTGTTAAATAAGTCAGGGAGATGAATGGCACGTTAGCTACATAGCTGATTATTAAATCTGACTTGAAAATGCACATATTCCGATCTCTGTCTTCTGAATACACTTAATCTCTAAACAGCTATTTGTACCGTTTATTCACCTGTGTCTGTTGCGTTTATCCTTCTTTGTTCATTCATATTTTACATCGCTTTGTGATCCATCATCTAAGTAGGTGTTATCCCACTTCAGCATTTCCACTTATCAGATTGAAATAAGCACAGAATGATACCAGACACACATTTGTAATTGTCTGGTGTATTTCATTTATATAAATACGAATGCACAACTATTAGAATGAAACTGTCTCAAAAAGAATAATTTTCCTGAAATCTTTGTTTTGTGTTTCAATGAAGATTATAAACTTAACCTGCGCTTTAAAGAAACCTCTTTCTTTGTGTTTTAGTTGTTTATTGAAACTAATAAACAAGTATACTTAAATCTTAGAATAAATGTACACAACCACTGAGAATCATTAAGATACAGAATACATAAAAAAATTCAGCCAAGTGA